GTTTTTTTTTTTTCACATCATTAATGTTTTCCAGGACCGTGGAAAACCTGGGACACATGGTCCTCATTTTCCAAAATCCAAGTCAAAGCTTGAAGTTATGTTTCTTTTTATTGTCTAGTGAATTGGTTTTTACAGCTTGCGATTTAGATTTTGTCCAAGGTCCAAGCACGCATTGAAGCATACAGGCTCTGGAGGATCTAAACCATATTGGCTGGGGGCTGCCCAGCTTGAGGGGAGCGGTAGTTAATCAGCGACATTCGAAGATGTCTCCCACAATCAGAGGTAACATGTGGCGCCCTTGTCTACGCCAGTTGATAAGGACTTATAACCCTTAACTGTTGCCTTTCAATTTGTTTCCAAAACCAATTCCAGCCTGGGATGAAGTTCGTCCTCTCTATAGCACAAACCTGGGCAGTATTGAAGAGATAATATGTTGCCCATGCATCATGATCCCTCTCTCAACCTGCCTTGTTTACTCCAAAGGAAAGATAACACAGTACGTTTGGAACAAAGCAGGCTGCAGAAGCTGGTGGATCAGAGTGCAGTGCTCTAACTGTCCGCTTGTCGGAGCTTCCTTCCGAGACCGGATGACAGTAAAGATTTAGTCTCGTCTGCCCTGCCATAACATAAAGTTTTTAGGTTGCATTTCCTTTTCCTAGGATAAGGCTAATATCCTCCCATATGTGCTCCTCCGCTCGGGCTTTTCTGATAGGGTCCACTGAATTCATTTAAGGTGGTAGCTGTAGATGTCTTCATAATTCAGTCGATTATTAGTAAACAATAGAAGTGATAAAATGCATATCTGTTCTTATTTGAAATGTTACTGTTAGTTTCTCTGCCCCCCCCCCCCCCCCCACCAAAAAAAAATTCAGTATTTCATAAATGTATATGTTACTTTGCAAACTTAATGAGCTCCTGTGGGATCCAAAAGTGTTTTATCATTTTCCAGAGAGATTCCCTGTCAGTGTCGTCAAAAGCCTCTTCACAGTCCATAAATCCAATGTAAAGTGCTAAATTCAATGCAGTGCTTTGCTGCGTCACATCGCTTAATCTTTACCCCCAAAAAATCTTACTTAATCATTTGCCAGGAACGGATAGTAACATAATTTCTTTGTAATTTCGTATATAATAATATAAATTATATCCACGTACGTTTCTGAAATTCAAAAACCTTAAGGAAATTTTGAGGAGGGTTTTTTGGGGAAGTGGTTTTCTTTATTTTCAAGTTTAAAGCATTTGGTCTATTTTAAAGTCGGTGAGAACTTTCTAGTGACTCTTTTTTACTGCTGCACTTGATTGATAATATTTTCTCTCTATGTTCTTTGTAGTGCTGTAAGAACCTCTAAAGTTTCTTTGTGTTGCTGTTGTCTATTTCTTAGTCGGACCATCAAAATATTGTATAGTTTGCTCTTATCCCCTCCTAATATTTTTTTTTTAATTTCTGCGTATTTTTCTATGAGCTCTGGCTGTAATAGCTCCAGTTTTGCCTTTGTATAGATCTGTTTTGTACATCAATTTGTTCTAAAGGATTTTAGTTGTTATCCATTTTTTTTACCATTTTACCCGTCTTCTTTTTACACACTTTTATTTCCTCAGACGAATAAGTCTTCAGTTCTTATTTCCTCAGCCAACTGTTTCAGAACTTGGTACTTTTTTGAGAGTGTGGCCATAAATGTGCTCCTAATTTCTTTATTCTATAGATATCTAACGTCATACTGATTTTTATGATTGTAAAATGTTATATATCTCTAGATTTGTAGTTTAATTTTATTAATCAACAAACAATGTACAGAAATACATCTGCACGTCTATAAGCCCTAATATCATACAGAGATCTAAATCGTTTATGTGTCCAGACAGCAAATTGGTTTCCTTTGCAAGAGTTAGTGAATTATTCTACATTTTCTTTCACTGCCTGTGTTATCATATCTTATCTTGGCATTCAGGGCATCCAGCTTCTTCTTCTTCTTCTTCTTCTTCTTTTTTCTTTTTTTATTTGCTCTTAAACCAGCAAAAGCCATGTTATGTTGCAGTTTACCGCTAGGCTGTGTTATCTGCACATTTTTGCCCAATACATCCAGCAAACCCCCTTAATTATTCCCCTTTCATAATAAGCCTGTTAGGGGGCATTGTGTCATGTTTCTCTTGTTTGGTATATACAGTTCCTTATTAAGTGACTCCTTCTTATCTTCCATTGGGCATAACTCTGAATATGACAGATTAATTTTCTTGTCTGGTTGTTCCTATTTTTATGAGACTCACTTCTTCCAATTCTGTTAGTGCCTTCTCTGATTCTTTCGCTTACATTTAAGTCACTCATCCCTATAAGGGACAGTTTCCTCTGTACATACAAAATACTTCACATGTATTATTCAGGCGCCATTTGTACAGATTTTCACATGTAAAGACAGGTAGGTCATAATTCTTCCTGATGAATAGCCTCCCCCTATGTTGGATGGCTGCTAATTACTCATTTATGTTCGTTGGTTTTTGTGATCAGTGTTTTTACAGGATGAAATAGCCAATCCTAAAACCAAAACTTTCCTTGAGTTGGCTCTTATTTCATGCCTGCTAGAGCTCAATGTTACTATTCTTTGCTTTTAGTACCCTGGTAAAATACTGGTATATTGTCTCGGTACTCAACAGCAACTGTTATTATGAGTCTACATTACTATATTCTACCCATCCTAAACTTAAACTGTTAATGTTGTTTTAAACATCTGAAGAGAATAAGCTGAGATTATACACTTGATGCAGAATAATTTGAGCGTATGTGAAAATACAAATAATTGGATTTTCCATATTTGTCTAACACTATAAACCACTCAACTGTAACAATATCAACATTGGAAGAAAGTTAGTTGCCTATCCTGTACAGGACGTTGCAGAACCAACCCTAACAGCCCATGGCTGTTGTGTGGTTTCTCTAGGCAATTTACGTCCAGTAGTTTGCCATTGCTATCTGGACGGTCGGCTTTCTTGATACCACTGTCGAAACCAACGCAAGGCGCATTGCCCACAGCTGGCATCAAAACCGGCATCCCGGCATTACGAAGCGAAGCGTTCGCACCGACTTAGCCACAGAGCCGACTAATATCAACATAAATACTGAAAAATACAAAACAATTGTGGTTAAGCTGCTTACCTCATGCTCTGAAGATCATGGGCTCGTTTTATTTTTTATTTTTTTTTTATCTTTAGGGATTGTTGCTGAAGTTACAGAAGTCGTGCTCTGTGTGACATTCTTGGCAGGTGGCTAATAATTTGACTGAGGGGGATCAATCCATAAAGAATTAAAAACCTTGGTGCAGTTTTTACCCAGTCGTGAATTGAAATAATACCCACACAAAATCAATTACCTGGCATATTTTGATGTACCTCATCAGGTGCATATTACAGCAAACCCCTATTAGCACGAACTTACTTAAGAAAAACACTTGCTTAACACAAACACAGTTTGGGTCCAGGCAGAAATTTTTTTATTTCTTGTATAAATATTTATCGGGCAATGCGAATTTCTGTTATCATAAACTACGAACTGTTGTTTTTTTTTTAAATCTGTTACGTCATTAGATCTCATTTGACGCTAATTCAAAAGCTTTTCATATTATTGTTTCTGTTGTTTCTTGGCTGGGTATGTTATAAATAAAGTTAAAAGTTAATCATTGTCAAATTCACTTTATTCTGTACTTGAATTTTGGGTTATTGTTTCTTATTATTAAAGTTACTTGATCCAATCACTTTGACAAATGCGATCATTGTAAACCGTTTATAATTCAACCACTGGATTCAATTAAATAATGTTAAAATTAAAGTACTGTTATATAATTTTAACAATTGTTTTTCTGCTCTTTAAAACGTAGCCAGTATTAGTAACATCAAGATTAAAACTTGCAAGCACTGTGAGGGGGGGGGGGGGAGGGGGGTCAAGCAAGAGGACACAAATACAGATCTGCAAACAAAACTAAATTTCCTATCAGAAGTAGACCATGGTGCCTTAAGAAAACGGCAGTTGCTGAACTGTATGAAACTGCCAAGTCTACCTTAGCTACAAAACCTAAAAAATCTTCATGATGCTGCATCAAGTTCTTGGAACAAATCTAAATGACTTCTTAGTGCTAAGTATGAAGATATTGAAAACGTACTTCTAGAATGGTGGAATCATATGCGCACTTTCAATTAACATTTAAGCGGACCTTTTTTTTTAAAGAACAAAAATAAAGTACCCTTTTCCATGCCTTCATGTGTATTGGATTGATCATTTAGGGCTAGACCTATATTTTATAGACCTATCGGCATTCGGCAGGTAATATGGTCAACATCGCACCAGACTCCTTTACTTCCCATGACTTTACCTGGTAGCCACTAACGCTGGGTCGACCTGGGAGCCAATGTCATTTTGGACAAATGTAGGCTCCTCATGACCTGAACCCGGGACATTTGGATCTGCAAGTGTAAAAGCCGCTACACCACGGTGGGTCCCAATTGAATCCTTCATTCAGTCACAAGCAAGTGAGACTGCCAAACAATTACAAAATTCAAGATTTCAGTTTTTCTGCTGGTTGTCTGTGCTAGTTCCAAGAGATGCTCAATTTAATCATTATGGTGAAGCAAATAACGATGGTGAATTAGTTAACAACTGGTTGTAACCTTCAGTTTGAAGACGGTACATAATGTTTTGTTAGTTTCAAAACCAAAATGTGAGTCTCAGCTTAGTAAGAATTTCGGTAAACATAAACTATTTATTCCCCCCCCCCCCCCGGGCCACCCCCGAGTTCGTGTTAACGGTTTTACTGTACTACTACTACTACTACTACTACTACTACTACTACTACTACTACTACTACTACTACTACTACTACTACTACTACTACTACTACTACTACTACTACTACTACTACTACATGGTTATATCAACATATAATAAATAACAACAGTAAAACGATACAAAACTAGCTCAAAGTATTTTCTAAATAACAGAAACAGCAATGATTACAAACCTGTAGAAGCTTTTTCTGCCCGCAAATTCATCTTTGTACGCGCCTTGTACTATATAATAATCTTCCTTAACGCCAAAAATTTTGCCCCAAAAGTAAACTCTGTAAAATCGGTTCTCATTTTGTAAAATAACCAGAGCCGTTTGAAGAGCTGCTTTCTGCTCTGGCGTCAGAATAATTCCACCACTACTGACATAATCTATGCAGAGATGAAGATCACCGGACTCCATAATTATAATGGTATACGGAGTTTATTTTCTTTAAAATATACCATCCAGATACCGTTAAATGGTCATGTTTACCACCATTCGACATTTATTTTTTTTTTTTTAACGTATGCGCAGTTTTGAGTAACCATAGCAACATGAGGAACTCATAAAATGCAGAAGTGAAAAAAGAAAAGGACATATTGTATCTTTTCCTTGACTTGATTTGAAAAAAAAATATAATCAACTGGTACTCTCCAAAAAGCTCTGAGGGCCTTATTATATTGTCCATTATTACGGTTGTTTTTTTTTTTTTTTTTTTTTTTTTTTTTTTTTTTTAAATATACTTTCAATACACATTTTTTTATTATTAAATTTTTTTTATTATTGACCTTTTTTCATTTTTTTTTTTTTTTTTTTGGGTACATTATCACTAGCTTTCACTCTTAGTCGCTCGTTTGCATTTTTTACTACCGTGTCCAGCCGGCACACCTCGTGCTCTTTAATTTTTTGTCTATCACTCGTCTGTTTACGGTCTATTCCTTTTTTGAATCTGCTCCTCTCCACCTTTCCTATGTCTCCCAGTCACCCTAGTCAGGTATTCCGCCAGCTGAGGTTTTTCATAACTTTCTGCTTTAGTTTGTTACCCACTGATCTCAAATCCACAGCAACTGAACTAGCCTTTGCCATTTACAGTAGCACTAGAACTGCTTGCCATCTTAATTTTCTCAGAAACTGTTTAAACTTTAAAGTTGTCCCACGCGGTTTCACTACCAAGTTTTATGCCTCAGCGGGTACCCTCTATGTTGGCTGCAGTAAACGCCTATCCCAGACTGAGTTAATCAAGTAACAGAAAGTGAATTTATATCCCACATTGAGACGCGATGTGCCACCATTCTGCCCATACGCTGTATTGCTGACACCCACGTGCACCAGTTGTCCGAGCTCAGATTGCGCATCACCCACCTAGATAGACGTTTATTCCAATAACTTCCCATAATTATTTTCTACATTGTGTTATACGGTGTATTATCAACAGCACCAACCACTATTTATATCGATGCCTATCAACCGCTAAGAACAATAAATTGACCAAACTCCGACCCGCTCCACCCACTGTCTCCTCCTCTCCACCTCTTGCAGGCGCTGACAACTGGGTTGTCTGTATACCTCCTGATCTCCCTCTGTCCACATCCGAGATAAGGGCCTTCGGTTCGTGCCCTTACGCCCTTCTAGCGACCGATACGCTTTCCTTCGGGACGCTCACAACTTTTTTCGCAGGCTCAGGTTGAAATATGAACCCAGCACCCGACCTGAGAGAACAAGTGCACCTGTGCCTACTGACTCTACTGTCTGATTTACAATACCTAGATCTTCCTGGACTCGTAACCTTGGGGCATCTAGAGCTTTGGATCTATACACTGAGAAAACTATTTCAGAGATCAACAAATTGAAATTCCAACCTCTTCCACGCTCTAATCTCGCACCTCAAGAACTTCAGGCACTCACACTTTTGAAACGTCATGATGATATTGTTATCAATCCTGCCGACAAGGGAGGGGTGATAGTAGTCTGGAGAAAAGATTTATATGTGCAAGAAGGGGACAGGCAACTTAGTGACACATCTTCCAAGGAACCCCAGACACAGGATGTTACAGTAAAAAACAACAAAATAGTGAAAAATACCATCCCAACCTTCATCCAGGAAGATCTTCTGCCTACACGGGCCAGCTCTCTATTTGTCGAGGACAGTTGTCTGGGGAATCCTGGCCTTCACATGCTTCCCAAGATACATAAACCGGACAATCCAGGTAGACCGATCGTGTCCGTCTGCGCTTATCCCACAGAGCTCATATCCGGGTTTCTTGACCGTACTTTGCAGCCCCTGGTCGTTGATCTCCCGTCTTACATCAAAGATACCAACCATGCTATCTCTATCTTTCAATCTATCCGGTTCACCTCTTCTTCCAGGTACCACATCTTCGCCTTAGATGTTACCCCCCCTCTACACCTCTATTCCACATTCAGATGACCTCCAGGCTTTGCGGTTCTTTGTAGATCAGAGAGTCAGTCCTGCCAAAGCCACTGACCCCTTGATTTGTGTGGCTGATTTAGTGCCCACTCTAAACTCGTTCGAGTTTAATGACCAGTATTTCAACCAGATTAGCGGCGTCGCTATGGGGACCAAGATGGGACCCAGCTATGCCTGCGTCTTCATGGGCACCTCGAGCACCAGATGCGTCATGCATATACCGGTAGACTCCCCGAGCACTACAGGAGGTATATCGATGATTATGTCATTAAATATGCAATGTTCAGAGCTTTGCAAAATACAAATATCCTGCCAGCAATGATTAACTATATCAGTTATTCCTGATGAATTGTAAAGTGAATTATAGTTCACAGATTTTTGAATACATTTGTTTAGAATATTACATGAGAATACTAGAGTGCCTATATTGGTCTTTTCAGAGTCTTACACACTCAGTCTTGCAGTGTCAAATACAGGAGCAGAGAAATTACTTTAAGTGTTGAAATATCAGGGGCCAGAAAGATCTGAAATATCAGAGATAGTGAGAACACATCATGAGAATATCTGGAGACAAAGAGACCACATCATGAGTAGAAATATCTGGAGACAGGGAGAACACATCATTAGTAAAAATATCTGGAGACAGAGAGAACACATAATCAGTAGAAATATTTGGAGACAGGGAGAACACATCATTAGTAAAAATATTTGGAGACAGAGAAAACACATCATGAATAGAAATATCTGGTGACAGAGAGAACACATGATGAATATAAATATCTGCTGACAGAGAGAACACATCATGAATAGAAATATCTGCTGACAGAGAAAACACATCATGAACAGAAATATCGGGTGACAGAAAGAACACATCATGAACAGAAATATGTGGTGACAGAGAGAACACATCATGAGTAGAAATATCTGGTGACAGAGAGAACACATCATTAATTTAAAAAAAATATGGAGACAGAGAGAACACATCATGAATAGAAATATCTGGTGACAGAGAGAACACATCATGAATAGAAATATCTGGTGACAGAGAGAACACATCATGAATAGAAATATCTGGTGACAGAGAGAACACATCATAAATAGAAACATCTGGTGACAGAGAACACCTCATGAATCACATGATGAAACACATCTTCCGGTTAAAATGGACACTAGGCAGTGGCACTGTTCGAAGCAGAGACACATTTTTTGCTTCTGCCGGACGGTGGCCGATGCATTTTTGTTTTATTTGTAGACTGGATATAGTTTCGTCGCCCAGCTTCTGAGTTGAATGCATGACGTGACACTGTGAGCTGCGGAGTGAATTTGGAATATTTTTTTCGACTGTGACCAACGTGTTGGTGTGAATTGTAGATTCAGAAAATGGCGCGATGCCTGTCGTGCAATGTTGGCGGTGCCCGTATGTGATTAAAATTGATCGAGTGGGTAACTGGTGATCTGTTGGCGACAAGTTCTGCTATCATCAATGATGAACTGCATTTCTAATGTTAGACTGTTTGTGTTAGCACTTAGGGTGGCTACCGTATGCTTTAATGCGAGTGTATGCTAGATATGCTGAGATAGCAGTCTGTCAATCTTTCCACAAGGGACTGTGATAAACATTCTGTGTGTTTTTCGTTGGCATAGGAGCGAAGCAAAGATGGGGTGACCCGTTTGCTATGAAGCTGAAACTAAGACTACCAGACTACCAGACCAGACCATATCGATGATTGCATCGGTGTCACCGATATGCCCCTACAGGAACTGTAGAACTTCATTCATTTTTTCTCTAACTTTCATCCCAGCATCCGATGCACTTCTAGCATCTCACCTTTGTCGGTGCATTTTCTGGATCTCACTGTCACCGTGAAATCTATAGGCCTTAACACCTCGGTGTGCTACAAGCCTACTGATTTTCACGCTTTTCTTCTCTACACGTCCTCCCATCCCTCTTCTTGTAAGCACTCTATTCCGTTTCCCTAACTTCTACGCCTCCGCAGACTATGCCAGGAGAACGACGACTTTCACAAGGCCCTGGAAATGCTGGACTTCTTCCGGTTTCAAGGGTATCCTGAACATGTCCCGTCTGCCGCCTTTCACCGCACACGGTCGAAACGTCACAACAATAGACCTATCCTCACACTTACCTACCACCCTCACAACATCTGCGCCAAAAATATTTTTCCCAGGCATCTCTCCATCCTTAAAGCCGACCCCGCCACCAGAACGATATTCTCTGAACTTCCTCTAATGGCCTACAGACATGATCGTAACCTCAAGGACATTCTAGTCAATAGTAGGTTACGCCCCTAGTCTGAGCTCCACTTCAGCACGGTCTTTTGCCAAAGACCTGTATGCAGAACCTGTCCATATGTGGTCCAGGTGGTTAGTCTAGAATTCTCTAACGCCACCTTCCACATACGTGAAGCATTCTATTGTAACAGTCGCAATGTCATTTATGCCATCAACTGCAAGAGATGTGGCATGAAATACATTGGTGAAACAGGCCTTCGGCTGGCCGACAGGTTCAGACAACATCTTTTGGATGTGCAAATTGGTGCTCTGAAACCAGTACTGTTGCAGTTCAATTCCCAGGATCGCCAAGGTGTCCTCGACATGGGGGTAACAGCCATTAAATCCAACCATTCCAGCGAGTCTCTTGAGAATCGCTTTATTTATACTCTGGGGACTTTAAAACCCTCCACACTGAATTGCCAACACAGTTTCATTTAAACTCCCAGGGGATTAAACTGCCATCACAATTTTATCTCCACCCCCTCCCCCCACCCCCCCCCCCCAGTTATGGTCCCTGGTACTCACCAGGGGGTATTTATCCCGTCAGCCTACACGTGTAGTCATTCTGCTGAGAAACAACTGACCCGGCTGCTTCGAGATACCACCTAAGTGATTTTGTGTATCTGAGTAGTATTTATTTATGTGTATGTGCTGATGAAGGCTCAATAGCCACAACTTTCACGTTTTGTTTGTATTTGTT